AACACGTCCCGGAAAGTGAAGCTGACCTACAAGCGGCTGTGCCTCAAGTACAAGATCACCTCCAATTCCGATCTCCCGACCGCCATAGAGAACGTGAAGATGAAGATCCAAGCTTGGGCCCTGAGGATAAAGCGGTACACGAAAAGGGTCAATTACTTCCGGCATAACGAGCGCTTCACGAACAATCAGAAGCTATTCTACCGGGAACTGGGAGCGAAACCCATAAAAGTGAAGAAGATTCCTGGCAAGGCGGAAGTGGAAGAATTCTGGTCGAACATCATGGAGTGTCCGGTAAACCACAACGTCGATGCCACATGGCTCCGACGTCAGAGGGAGTTAACAGGTACTCCCGAAATGAGCGACCTCCAGATTACAACATCTGATCTGCAGAAGGCACTCAAACAAACAGCGAACTGGAAGAGCCCCGGACACAACTGTCTTCCTAACTTCTGCCTGAAGCAGTTAACATCACTACATGAACAACTCGCCAGAGAAATGCAGAAAGTAGTGACGGACCCCTTGGAGATGCCGGATTGGCTCACCGCAGGAGTCACCTACCTACTGTCGAAAAATGCCGAAACCGAGCTACCGCGGAATTACAGGCCCATCACCTGCCTGCCAACCGTCTACAAAGTGCTGTCTTTCATCCTAACAGCACGAATCGAACGACACATCTATGACAATAACATCATGTCGGAAGAGCAAAAGGGTTGTCGGAAAGGATCGTACGGCTGCAAGGAACAGCTCTTGGATGATGCCAGAATCAGGAAGAAGAACCTCTCGATGGCATGGATCGACTACCAGAAGGTATACGACTCGGTGCCCCATTCATGGATCATCGAGTGCCTCAGGATGCACAACATCAACCCTGTGGTGGTCAACTTTCTCCAAAAGACCATGCCTCGCTGGAAGACGGTAATGTCCCTCAAGGGACAAGACTCCACCCTGACAACCCGCGAAATTTCCATCAAACGCGAGATCTTTCAGGGAGACACGCTATCTCCTCTTCTCTTCCGTCTGGCTCTCAACCCACTCAGTACCGAGCTATCTCGGACTGACTGGGGTTATTATCTGGTTGGAAAGAAAGTTCTCGGAATTTCATGAACAATTATTACAACCCAGTTTATTTAAAAGCAAAATCATCTCAATCATGAATGTAATCACCATTGGCCTCTATCACTTCACGCCAACGTTTATGCAAACTATGGATGCCATTCCAATAGAACTCTGGCGGCTGCGCTACGAAAAAGTTGGCCAAATCGGTTTTCAGGTCGTCTTGGTTGGCGTACTGCTTTCCACCCATGTGACGGTCCAGGGCAACGAAAAGGTGATAATCGGACGGGGCAAGGTCGGGGCTGTAGGGCGGATGCGGCAGCACCTCCCAGCACAGGTCCAGTAACTTTAGATGAGTCTGTCTAGCGGTGTGCGGCCGGGCATCGTCGTGGAGGAGGATGGTTCTCTGTCTTTCTGGGCGTGTTTCAGCCAGTTTCTGCTGCAGCCGATCGAGTTGCTGGCAGTAGTAGGCAGCAGTGATGGTGGTGTTTTGCGGCAACAGCTCAAACATGATGATGCCTTTCGAATCCCAGAAGACCGAGAGCATAATCTTTTTGGGGTGCAACTCCTGACGGGGTTCTCTTTCGGCCGATGCTCCGGCGTCCACCCACTGACGTTTTCGTCGAATGTTGGCATAGAAGGTCCACTTTTCGTCGCCTGTCACCACTGAGTCTAGCCAATCCGTTCGGCGCGAACGTGACAGAAGGGAGATGGCCATGTCTACTCGTCGCTGGCGGTCCCGATCGTCCAGCTTGTGGGGTACCCAGCACCCCAACTTTGCCTTCTTGCCAAGCTCAGCCAGATGATGAAGGATAGTTGTATGGGAGACACCCAGCAAGTCCGCAAGCTCTCGCGATGTTTGCCGGTTGTTGGCCTCCAGTGCCTCCTGCAAGGCAGAGTTATCAAACTCCGAAGGACGACCGGTGCGTGGCTGGTCTTCCAGGCTTTCATTTCCTTTCTGGAAGCGACTGTACCAATCATAGGCAGTGCTCTTGGACACAGTGTCCGGGCCAAACGCGGTATTGATATCAGCGATGGAATTGGCTGCCTTCTTCTTGATTCGGAAGTCATAAAGAAGAAGCAGGCGAACTTGCTCCTTAGTAAGAGGGTAGGGCTGGTTCATGGCTGGAGAGCACCAGGGCTGTAATAATATACGGTTGTATGCCGAAGGACACGACCTACTTACAAACACACGCAGAACATTCTAGCATGCTCTGGAAAAAAATTGTACTGGATATTCAAGAAATTCCGAGAACTTTCTTTCCAATCAGATACGTAGGAAAGGGGAAGAAGAATCACCTTCTCTACATGGGCGACCTGAAACTCTAGGCCTCCAACGAGAAACAGCTCGAAAGCCTTCTCAACGTCGTCAGCATCTTCTCGAAAGACATCTGCATGAAATTCGGACTCGACAAGTGGGGCGAAGCTCTCTATACACCACGGAATCCTCACCCCTATGGGAGATGTCACCACCACCAACGACGAACAACTCCGAGAGCTTACGGCCCCTGACACCTATAAATACCTCGGTGTGGAAGAGAACTCTTCCGTGGCTGTCAAGCGCACGAAGCAGAGACTGACGACTAAATACGAACGCAGAGTCCGCTCGTACTGAAGACCGAGCTGTCTGGCAAAAATAAGATCACTGCCCTCAACAGTCTCGCCATCTCTGTCCTCAACTACAGCTTCGGAGTTATCGATTGGTCACCTACGGAACTCCAAGCCATCGATCGAGCAATCAGAAAACTTCTGACCATGTATCACACCCACCATCCGAAGGCTGCCGTTGAAAGACTACCTTTCGAGATGCAAGGGAGAGAGGGGACTGATCGAACTCGAGTCCCTCTATAAGCGGACGACGTGCGAAGTCGCGAGATTCATCGAAAGGAAGACGAAAGAAAGGAAGAAAGGGACGACTCATTTCCATCCTGAGAGCGCGATGCCATAAAGAAATCCCACTCCACCCAGGGAGATGCCACCCGCTTCGCCATGGTAGAATTTATTTATATATATATAATTAAATCCTTCCACGGCGACTGCCGGTATTATAGGTATGAGGGGGGATGAGCCACATCCCAGACCTCATACTCGCCTAATTCTGAAGGACACGGCGGAGGATGTTGGCCGTGCCCAAGATTGCTGTACGCTGGAGGATATCGAGTAATACCGGCAAGGATGCCGGCAAAGGATGCTGGCCGTGCCCAAGATTGCTGTACGCTGGAGGATATCGAGTGAGATTTCACACTCCAGCTTCCTGACATGTCCCTTGAGGTCTTTCAGGACAACGCCAGTTGTACCGATGATGAACGATGGTGGTCTTCATTCCGCACAACCGTTCTACTTCCACTTTCAGTTCGGAATATTTCTCCAGTTTCTCCCTGGTCTTCTCTTGGAGGTTATTATCGGCTGGGATGCTCACATCTACGAGGAGGGCGGTCTTCTCCTTCTTAAAGATCGTGAGGTCCGGCCTATTACAGCCTATAGTGCGGTCTGTAATTATGGGCATGTCCCAGAGTACCTTGGTGGAGAAGTTCTCCACTACAGACTGTGGCTGGTGTTCGTACCACTTCACTGGGACATACAGGCCGGCTTGCTTGCAGACACACCAGTGCACATATTTGCACACCTGGTCGTGCCTGTGCAAGTACTCCCTCGGGACTAGTTCAGGGCAGGCACTAAGGAGGTGGTGAACCGTTTCGGGTGGTCCATGACAGCATCTGCAGTGGTCTTCCAAATCCAGCCTCAGGATGTGCTTCTCGTAGTTATGAGTTCTAATGCATTGGTCCTGAATGGCTAGAATGTTGCTCTCCGTCTCGGCTTTCAGCAGTCCCTTCTTCAGCTAGTTATAGCTGAAGTCCGAGTCGATCGATGGTTTATCTATGATCTTGGGATGCCTGCCGTGAAGCGGTTTCTCCTTCCATGGAGCCTCTCTTTGTAGTTGGTCTGCCGTCTTCACATCCGTCGTATCGCAATCGTCATCGAGATGGAGTATGTTTCGTGTTTCGGAAGAGGGCGCGTCTTGATCAAGTCTTGACCGCGTTTCTACAGTAATTACAGCTCCGAGTGTACGTCTTCCTCTCTCAGGCTCGCACTTCTTTCCGGCCGTTGCGACTATTCTCGAGAACGATGTAATAGTGTAATAACGATGTAATGAGTTGGATGGCTTAAGAGGACGAAAGAACCCTATGGATCACTATGAATCGAATCCAGGGCCTCCAGACCTCTCCATGCCATCCCTAACACTACAACGGGCATTCTACGCACACCACCCCCCCCCCCCCTCCACTTAGGGGGTGTTCACACCTCCGATACGGACTTTTCCGAAGGGACGTGAAAAACGTCCCCGCGTATTACACTGGGGAGTCCCCTTTCATCCCAGGAGGAAGGATGACTTCCTCGCCAGGATGAGATCTCCGCCAATATATTTATAGGAATCCCGATCCCTTTATCAATCGGAATCCCGTCCTCGTATTGATTGGCACTCTCATTAGAAGAGCGACTCCCGAGGGTGAAAACGGCGGGATGCCACCTGTATGGAACAGGAGCGCTTACCATTGGATCGGAAAGCCGACGTCGGCCGCGTCTTTCTCTATTGAAGAGAACTTCGCGGGCCGGGCAAAATTGACTAGAGGGCCGGCAGTTTGACACCTCGGGCCTAGGCCAGACCCGAAGTTCGTGAAAGTCTTCCACGGGTCGGCCGGTGAATTTAATTCTAATTCAGTCTAATTGACTGAAATTGTGGAATCCAACTTCTCTTTATTTTTGACAAGAGTTTTGTTTATTGTTTTTGGAAGACTATACCATTCATAACCCTATCATTGATCACTTGATCTTAGTGAGCAGAACAAGGATATGCTATCATCAGTTTGTGGCTAGCATTGATTTTATTGTGGTTTTGGTACTATGTGGTATTTCATATTAACACTTTTATGTTTTTTCTCTGTTTAGAGGAATTCATGAACCGGGAAGTCTTGGAATATGAGATCGGGAAGAGGCATCTGGCAAACATGATGGGGGAAGATGTGGAGAATTTCACACAGGTAGATGTGGATCGGGCTATTGAGTACCTGTTTCCCTCAGGGCTGTTTGAGAAGAAAGCCCGGCCTCTTATGCGCCACCCCGAAGAAGTGTTCCCTCGGAGGAAAGCTGCCGAGTTTGATGTGAGCGGCCGACCCTTCCACTCCTTGTTCTACACAGCTAGTCCCAAGTTTTATGGCATTCTGCATGATGCTGTCACCTACATGAAGGACTGCAATGATCACGAGGATGAGATGATCAAGTAAGAGCAAAGCAATTAAGCAAAGAAAAGCCAGCTTAGTGGTGAACCTCCTTTGCATCCACTGATATATGAAGGGCTAAAAGGAAAAGTGGTCTATCTACAAAAAATGTTTTGAAGAAATTCAGTTGGTTTAGTGCTCATTGAACTTTATTTCATTGAAAATGGTTGTTTTTTGGAAATATGTAAAATAAGAACTGATCTATCAATGCATACTAGCTTTCCTCACTTTTAAGAAGACAAGTCATTGTAATATTCACTTTTTAGTGCTGAACTCAAGGAAATATATATATTTCTTTTTTACAGTTATACCACTTTTCCTTTCAGCCCTTCTTATATTTTAAAGCCAAAATATTTTGGGGATGTAGGGAACAATGGAGTGGAAGGGTCGGCCGCTCACATCAAACTCGGCAGCTTTCCTCCGAGGGAACACTTCTTCGGGGTGGCGCATAAGAGGCCGGGCTTTCTTCTCAAACAGCCCTGAGGGAAACAGGTACTCAATAGCCCGATCCACATCTACCTGTGTGAAATTCTCCACATCTTCCCCCATCATGTTTGCCAGATGCCTCTTCCCGATCTCATATTCCAAGACTTCCCGGTTCATGAATTCCTCTAAACAGAGAAAAAACATAAAAGTGTTAATATGAAATACCACATAGTACCAAAACCACAATAAAATCAATGCTAGCCACAAACTGATGATAGCATATCCTTGTTCTGCTCACTAAGATCAAGTGATCAATGATAGGGTTATGAATGGTATAGTCTTCCAAAAACAATAAACAAAACTCTTGTCAAAAATAAAGAGAAGTTGGATTCCACAATTTCAGTCAATTAGACTGAATTAGAATTAAATTCACCGGCCGACCCGTGGAAGACTTTCACGAACTTCGGGTCTGGCCTAGGCCCGAGGTGTCAAACTGCCGGCCCTCTAGTCAATTTTGCCCGGCCCGCGAAGTTCTCTTCAATAGAGAAAGACGCGGCCGACGTCGGCTTTCCGATCCAATGGTAAGCGCTCCTGTTCCATACAGGTGGCATCCCGCCGTTTTCACCCTCGGGAGTCGCTCTTCTAATGAGAGTGCCAATCAATACGAGGACGGGATTCCGATTGATAAAGGGATCGGGATTCCTATAAATATATTGGCGGAGATCTCATCCTGGCGAGGAAGTCATCCTTCCTCCTGGGATGAAAGGGGACTCCCCAGTGTAATACGCGGGGACGTTTTTCACGTCCCTTCGGAAAAGTCCGTATCGGAGGTGTGAACACCCCCTAAGTGGAGGGGGGGGGGGGGGGGGGGGGGGGG